TAATAATACAAAAAACAAGCAAAGGATTAGAACGCAACTCCAGCTTTTTTATTACTTCTTGAGGTGTAAAAAATAATTTCACTCAGTCACTTGAGTGACTTTACCTCAGGCTGATGTTATTCACCTGCGCAGAATTTGGCTCCTCCCACTTCTGTCCGACACGCCCCCACCCCTCACCCCCTCAGTCTCCAGCACCCCCCCCACTCTCGGCTTCCTTCACATTCAGCTCACGGACACATATAAAAAGTTTGAAGGGGGGGAAGACGCGAGAAAAGGAGGAGAGTGTGAACCGAGGAGGTAAACGGAGAGGAGATCCGGCCACGTGCGCGTCTCTGACCCTGATTCCCGGTGAGCTATGACCTGATTTCCTGATCCAGATCGGTCGGCGCTGTGTAATTATCCCGGAGGTTTGTCAAATGAGTGATGAAGTGGCTGTTTTTTTGTTTTTAAACTCATGATTTTGATTTGAACCTGTTTTTTAGCTGGAATCTGCAGCCTCTGCATGTGTGCATCCCCACCTGTGACGGTCAGACAGGTCGGTCACTGTTTTCACTTTTTGTCACCACGCTTTGGAACACTTTCATCTGTGACGAAATCAGGACTGAGTCAACTAATAGAGTGAGAATCAAAACACTTTTTTTAAAAAAAATCTGTCAAATAAAAATCCAAAACAACAAGACATTTAGACGTTTTTATTGCTTCAAATGAACCAAACCTCTTGAAATCTTTAAAATGGTCAGTGTTTAATAGATGTACACAACTTTTAAAGGTTGTGTTTGAACTTTAGTTGTTTGTTGACTCATTTTATGAGACATTATATTTTGTGGTGTGTGTGTGATGTTAAAAATAGAAGTGAATATATGGAAGACAAAAGAATAAAGTGATAAGACTAAAATGAAACTTTCATAAGTGGTATGTGGAAAAAATATCTGTGAGATGTTTCATCTATCAGTCATCATGTTTTCATCTAAGAAAACTTTGGGAATCACTTGGTGATGATAGATAAATATATATTTTATGTCGAAATAAAATATGTTGGGTTTAATTAATAAGTAAAGAAAACTTGATGACTTTGACAGTTGGATTGAAATTTTTATATTGAGTTAGACCGATTTTATTAATTAGCCGGTCATTTTAATTTGCCACTTTTTGCTATTTTTGTCAAGTAATCACCTATCAGTCCTGCCTATGTATGCCGTTTGTGACCAACATTTGCAAGGGCATCATAAAATTGTTTTTAAACATTTGCAGGAGTTGTCAGCTTCTTCACAGGCCACAGAAGCTCGCAGTCTTTAATTCTGAGCGTGCTCAGCAGATTTTTCTCCAGAATATAAACCGAGAGTCACCGCATGCGTCTTGATCTCGTCTCACAAGCATCTCTAATTCATCTTAAGAGAGCAACTGTATTTGGACACCTGGGCAGGTCTAAATACGTATAAATTTTTACAAACTGGTCCAAATCTGCCTATATAAAGGTTAAACTGCACTCCGATATGTTAAACAAAAAATGTGGGGGTGGGTGACAAGGTGCGTACAAATAAACAAAGAAAATAAGTGCACATCTTAGAATACAAAATTGAAGCATTTTCAAGATTCTCAGAGCCACATTAGTCATTTGGTCACAAACACTGAGAATTAAACTGAAAAAATAAAATTAAATAAATACAGTTTTGTTGTGATCTTTATTTGTCACCAACTAGTTTCAGTATCAGTGAGTCAACAACCTTTACAAGTGAAAACACAGAAGTTTTTCCCTCTTGCCCACAGTTATTTTTGTGTGTTTAAGTTCTTCTGAGTTGTTAAATGTTTTGTTTAGGTTAACCGATCACGTCTTCTCAACATCCTGGTTTCGAAAGTGATAGATTTCCCTGTTTTTAGATTTATTTATTTCAATATTTAACTGACTTGAGCACACAAACTGACGCACTTTTCCCAAGGTGCTTTGTGGCAATTAATAATTACCTCAGGAATCGGCCTCAGTCTGTGGAAAAACATTTAATTAATATACAAATCAAAAGACAAACCAGTTTATTTTAACTACTTTTAGATTCAGCTAAAGATATGAGAACACATTGTGGTTTTGTAGCAGGCAGCTGAAACAAACTGATCCCGTTTAAAGTGAGTTCGTCCTTAAACTTGTCAAATCTGTTGTGTCAACACAACTACGGGGTGCCAAGTGTAAAATAAAATATTAAAAAATGTCATGAGACATTTTATCATTTAGCTCCCTCTCAGAGTGTAAAATCCTGGTTAAATATTTTCAAATATAATGTGTTTTTATTTAGCTCACTGTTTTTTACATTTAGTTAACTTTTACTGAATATTTTTTCAAGTTTTTAAGCCTAAATCTAAATGTGTAAGTTAAATCTTAAATGTTTAAATGTAAAGTTTACATTTATTATCAGAATGGAACACAGTGTTTGCCGTTGGTGCTCAGCTCTTTTTATGCGTCATCATCATGCGACAAAGTAAATGCTAACACTGCTAACACCTAACACTGCTAACACCACTAACACTGCTAACGCTTTCCTACAACACATTAAACCTGTGGCCGGTGTCCGAGCTGCACTTCAAACTGCCGGACCACAGGTACCATCCATGTTGTTTTAATGAACACATTTTGAATTTAGATTTTAAATACCGTCCTCAGCAGTGTCGGAAGTGGATAGCGTTGACGTTTGTCACAGGATGATGACATCATCCTGGTTCGCTAACATTAACCACTGCTGCTGCTGTTGTACACTTGTAAAGTGAGCTAAATAATGAAAAGGTGTTAGTGACATGTTTTTACATTTTATTTTACACTTAGTGCCCCATACACAACTGGCTCATCCCTTGATTTTAGTGTTTTTACACCTGAATGATTCACAGCTCCCAGTTTATTGGCCTACTTTTAGGAGAAAAGTGACCTACTTCTTGGAAAAAAAAAGATGAAAAGAAATGAGGAATAACCCAAGACTTTTGCTCAGTAATTTAGGGTGTTTAAACACAAGACTTGATGAGGATCAGTAAAGATACACTGTTATTAAATCCTGGATTGAGAGCTTTACAAACTGATCATTTTTTAAAGCTATATATTTTAAATACATTTAAAAAAAAAGGAAAGATAGAAGTGATGGCTGATAAGGTAGCTGGACACGGAAAGAGAACAAAGAAAGTGATCGGTTAAGATAAGATGTGATAGCTTTGTGTTTATTCTACTGTTCTACCTTCATTTCATGTATCTCTATATAAACTTGATTCTTTTATTAGATTAGATATTAATTATCTCTCATTGGAACCTTTCAGAGAGCACACACCCTATATTTTTATGTCTATAGCTATCACCGTCCAAAATTTTGAAAAAACAACTTCGCACAGGTGTGTTTGTAGAATCGTTTACTTTTATGAAGAGCACAGGTACCACCAGTTATTTCATGTGCATTTTTCAACAGTTTGCAATTACACAACGGTAGACAGCAGCAAATAAAATTAAATATTCCAAACTAAACAAATAGGCTATTATGGAGTTTAGAAAAAAGGTCATAAATGAGGCGTTGTTGTGAGCCATTCAACCACAAAGAGGCACCTAATTGTTGTTTGATTGTAACAGAGACATTTTTGTTTCCTTGTCTTTGTCACCTTGTCACTCTGACAGAGTGTTTGGTTTAGATTTTATGGTTTCTTACTCACAGTTACTATTACTCAACACACAGCACACGTTAGAATTCCCTGGTTTGTTTTGTTTGTGCCGTGGAACGCACGCAGACTTGTTCAAACTTGCCTTTATAGCTCTAATTTTATCAGTTTCTTTTTTTTATTAGAACGCCAGATTGTTGTATTTTTTTCTTCATTTTGATTTAACAATTTAATCTCAAGTGAAAGTTTAGTTTTAAGTCAGTTGAGGTTATCTAAACACCTCATGTCCTGACCTTGAACTTCATGTTTGTACCCAGAGGGCTCCAACTGTGCAAACCAAGTGGAGCGAGGCGAGCTGGCAGTGAAACCAAGTGAAAATCAAGTCGGACGAGAAATGGCTCGTAAATAATCGTTTTTAAACAGCTGAAACCCCTTATTACTCAGTGGGGTGACAAAATAACAAGTATCGTTTCCCATGTCCCTCCAAGTGACTGAGACTGAAACCTGGCACAGCTGAGGAATGTTAAGTCCCAGCTTGTTGACTGAAAACTCGTTAAAAAGACCAAATCAAAACCAAGGTGACTAACCGCCTAAACCCCATTAATCCTCAGGTTTTATTTCATGTTCAACTGATTTTCTGACATTTGTTTGCTTGTCATTTTTTAAAAATTTTTTTACTCGCAAAGATTTTCTTTCCGTAATACAATCCGTGCATGGTTGTGCCTGTCCCTGTTTATGCTGCAGAGGCTTGAGATCCCCCCCGGCTCTGAATATCCCCATGGTGTTGCCTATTGTAAGCGCTGAAGCCCCCCTCCCTGCCCTTCTGCACACTGGCCCTTTTGTGGATTGCCTTAACATTCAAAGAAACCCCCTTCTTCATTGATTTTCTCACAGTGGTCTTTTCCCCCCCTTTTATAATTTGTAGGTTTAGAGGGACCCAGCCTCTCTGCATCCAAATAAAGCATCATCTGAGGCATCATCATCGTTTTTAAGGCTCCAAGTATCAAGTGTCCCAACGGCTCAGAAAAGACTCAGCATTTTGTTAATTTGGTGTACAAACAATAAATGAATTTAAAAAACAGAGACGTGATGACACAAGTCGAAAGCTTCTGCAGAGTCTGCAGCCGGGGACTGTACAGCTGCCACTGGAGGAGGTCGAGTGAAAAGGGACAAAAAGTGAGTGTTTATGCTTTAAACGTGTGTCAGTGTTATATCTGCACTGTTTTTTTTTTATCAGTAATCGAAGTTAAGACTCAACGCTTTGAGTTTGTTGTAAGAGCTACAGAGCATAACTGTTTTTAATCCTTGTGATCTGGCTTAAAATGTTTTACAAAGACTTAAATGATAAAATTATCCCAATCTTTTTTCCTTTTCATCCTCTGCATTGAAAACTGAGAGGAACCTTCTTTTGTTTGTTTTTTTCCGGAGTGGAAGTTATTATGCTGGTAAAACAGGAAATGAGATTTTGAAGAAGGTGATGAATAAAGACATAAAAGTTCCTTCAGCTGCCAATAAAACCAAACAGAGCTGCAGGCTCTGACATGTCTGTGATGGGTTTTATCTGGAAATAGATTTATAAGAAGACAGAGGATATGAACGTGGTCTAAGATTTTTTTTACAGGAACATGTTTAGAAGTGCAGGTGTGTTTACTTAAAAAAATATTTTTAAAATTGTGTTTGTGATGAGCTGTCACAACACAGGGTACAAAACCAACAGTGGAAAAAATGTGGAGTTAGTTTCACTGTCGATACACTGGAACATTACTTTCACATTCTTTTATTTATCCTGGAATGGATTTCTATTTTATTCTTTTTTTTTTACTTCAAACCTAAAAATGAAATTTCCAAATAATTCAGTTTTTCCTATATATATTTTTTTCATTTCAGTGTGGCTCCTGTTTTTTCTTATTCGTCTGTCTGGTGGTCTTTCTTTCCATCTGCTGGATGTACATTTGTTTCGCTACTTACAACGACCGAGATGACATTAACTCGTGAGTTATTACAAACTTCGACCCACACCGAATCTACCGACTCCAGCCCAGAATCCTCTCTTCTTCATTGTTTTCTCTTGTTTCAGTGTTTATTGGTGCCCTTAATTCTGTTGCCTCCACTCTGCCCTCTGTTGTTCTGTTATCAGGAAAGGATTCTCAGCCCTGAAAATGTGGGTGAATTGGTCCATGTTGTTGATCGTTGTTTCTGCGATGTTTACCAGCTACTCTCTCCTGCTGCTGGTGAGAAGTGTCTTCTGTACAGTATAATGAACTGACACTAAAATGTATGAATGAAAGATTATTGCCCCAATTAAAAAAACGATTCTGGTTATTTTTGTGATCAATCATAGAGCACAGAGTATGGAGTGAAAACAGGCCCAAAGTCTTCAACATAACTAGGTTAATGGCCAGCCAAAGAAGCACTTGTTTTTATTTATCTTTTAATTAGGTCTTCAAACTTTTAAAGCAAGTCATTCCCAAAAATTTAGGGTGAGGAGCTCCGTCATCCGGGGGGAGCTCAGAGTAGAGCTGCTGCTCCTCCACATCGAAAGGAGTCAGTTGAGGTGGTTTGGGCACCTGATTAGGATGCCTCCTGGACGCCTCCCTTTTAGAGATGTTCCAGGCACGTCCCACTGGTAGGAGACCCCAGGGAAGACCCAGAACTCGCTGGAGGGATTGTGTATCCTCTCTGGCCTGGGAACGCCTTGGGGTCCCCCGGGACGAGCTGGAAAGTGTTGTTGGGGAGAGGGATGTTTGGGTTTCTGTTGCCTCCACGACCTTACTACAGATAAGCTGAAGAAGATGGAGATGGAGATTCCCAAAAATTTCAAACTGGTGCGACAGAATGCTACATCAGCTAAACCTGTACACTTTTTTGTAACACAATTTGTTTAGTTTTTTGCTCAATTGAACAACGTCTGTGTAACTGCAATAATTCTAAGCACAGTAGCTCATAATGATAGGATTAACAGCTCTTTGAAGGAAACCGGATCTTGAGGATGCGTTCTTTTCAAAGAGTCAGTGTTTTGAATGGTTAGTCGCAGGGTATGGCCAGGGATGTAGAGCGGTTGTATGTCAATACGGTCATGTTGTTGCAGCCTCTTGTGCTTGTCAAGCCCATACGTGTCAAGTTGTATGGATTGGTCATAAATTACACAGATTTACCCTCATTTTTCATGTATACATGTGTATATAGGGCAACTGTAGGACATTTTTCAAAAACTTTGCTTCACATTTATGTAGCAGTATCGTTTATTTAACTCATCGAGATTAAAAACCTCTTTTCTAAAAGTGACCTGGCCAAGACATTTAGCTGGCAGGCTGTAAGGAAACAAGTTTGCCACTACCTCCTCCTCTTCCACTCCCTGGGAGTATACAAATGTACAGGTAAATGTTCAGACGGGCTGACATGTATCCTCTCACTCCCTTTTCTAAGTTTGCCAATCACAACTGCTGTGTCAGTGGAGTAGTAGAGAAAAAGTGTATCTGAATCTGTATGAAACAACAAGGAAAAAAAATAAAGAGCTAGCAACTGTCTGCAACTCGGTCCCCATAATTTGTTTTGAAGAGATGTTCTAAAGATTTGGATTGTTCCTGAATGTCGTGTCTCCAGTAGCTAATATAGAGTTTTTTTTTTCACATCAGTATGTTGCCTTTTGTACAAGAAAAGCCTTTGAAATGATTTTAAAATGTCCCTTGTTAGGCTAGCCATTGATCTAGCCCAAATGAAGACTTTTGCCTCTTTCTTCAAGACCGTGCCATATGACTGATGCCACTGAACAAAATATCACTTCAAAAATTACCAGAAGGGCCCAGTTTAAAAGGTTAATGACTGAGACTTGATTTGTTCTGTTTATGATTTCACATTTTCTCATTCTTCCTGTCGAATGCAGTTCTTTGCGCTGGTCCAAGTTATCCTGAGAGAACGGCTGGTCTTACACTGGCTGCACAAGGTATAAAAACCACTCATCTGTTTAACCTGCATTAATAAAGTCATAGTTCTGATCTTTTGAAGTGAGGTTCTCGACTGTTTTATTTGTTGCTGTTCTTTGAATGGTCTCAATCTGAAAAATTACGTTGTTGTTGTTGTTATTATTATTGTTATTATTGTTATTATTATTATTTTTATTATTAATCTGACAGGATCTCTAAAGTCAGTCTAAGCAGGAATGAGACCAAATGAATTACTTCCATTTTAACTCTTACATTTATAGCAACTCATAAAAATGCTGTTTTATAAACCTTTACATCTTTACACATTTACATGTCATATCTTTACATGTTATTTGTATGTGACACTTTTGGTTCAGTCTGATGTACAGTATTTCTAACAGAAATATAACATTTCTGTCAGACATAAATTGTTTTAAGTTGGCAGTAACCCATTTTGGTCTTAGCCATTATTCAGTCAAAATGACACTTTGTTTCTCCACATTAATGTTGAAAACTATCAACAAGCAACTTAATTGTTTGCAGAGCCCCACTTCAAAAGTCCTGATCGTTTTCGTTTTATCAGATGAGTAAATTTATTTGTTCTCTGTGCAGATCTTTCTCTCCGTTGGCGTGATTTTTGGTTTCCTGTTGCTGGCAGGAATCTGTTATATGTGGAAACAAGAAGTGCCAACCATTCCTCTTTCCCTCCAGGTACAGGGAGAATACAGATCAAGCTGAAAGTTAATTTTATCAACATGTTCAGATATATTTATGCTTGTTTGATGTCTGCAGGCCACAGGTCCTTTCTTGCAGTTTGGCGCCGTCGGAGCCTTGACTCTCCTCAGCTCCTTTGTCTTCCACGCCTTCACCGTGGCCCAACGAGGTACGTGTGAGACAGCTTTTTTTAAATATATTTCAATAAAGACATGATTCCCAGGCTACTTTGAATAGATGCAGTATTTTCTCAGATAAAATAAGAGGACTTTGCCAGTTAATTAATTACCCTACTCGACTTAACAAMAAATGCCCTTTAAAATCATCACTCCTAGATTTAATTATGACAAACGCTCCGCATAAATATACAGGGATAGGAGTTTTTTCAAGTGATCTTAGTGACCATTRCGCTATTGGTACAGTTAGAAATCTTAAGTTACCAAAAATTAAGCCACGTATCTTGATCAAAAGAGATTTAAAACACCTAGATGAACAAGCTTTTGTCCATGACCTGCTACATTTTAACTGGAGTAGGGTCTCTCTCTTTGATAATGTAGACCTTGCTTGGCAGTATTTTCATGAYGAGATTTTAAGACTAATAAATAAACATGCTCCTGTACGTAAAATTAGGGTAAAAGGGAAAAATAATCCATGGTTTTCCTCAGATATTAGGGCTCTGCTTAAACAAAGAGATGCAGCTTGGGCAAGGGCAAGGAAAAATAAAACTGAAGACAGCTGGCTTTGCTATAGGAAATTGAGGAACAGGTGTACCTTAGTAATTAGGAAAGCAAAGTCAGACTATTTTCTTGCCGAGATGACAAAAAAAATTTAAATGATCCGAAGAAATTTTGGAAAACAGTGAAATCAGCTACTGAGCAGGCGCCACTGAGTGACTTTCCGAATTTTATTTGGAATAAAAGTAAAATGCTGAC